TATATATAATCTTATTAGAGAAAATCATGAGTATTTATTTGTCTTCTGAAAAGCCTCTCTGCCTTCCTTTCAAATCTCTAAAAAAGAGGAAGAGACCTAAATAAGTAATCTACATTTTTTGGTAGGTGAACCCATTATAATTTGACAAAGGCAATGCAATTGTCTTCATATCAAATGTTACCCTTCAGATAATGCACTGATAATCTTGATGCTGCAGAAGAGGTTTTATGACAAAGCATGATGTCAAGAAAAATCAATAACAAGGAAGACCATTATCTTCATTATCTAAGTGTTTGATGTTTTTTTCTATAGCTACAAAACACTTCATTATCTCACTTAAGTCACTGAGTCTAATAACTTAAATAATAGAAAAATAATTTTATTCAGCACAATACCATAGATGATCATCTGATTATGCACTGAATCTAGAAATAACCACAAGTATTTATAAGGAGAATTATAGCATTACAATTTTTTCAAGGTACTCAATGCATTTAACTCAACTGCCAGACAATATATGCATTTATATTTTGTTCATGACACATTTTTTTTTATAGCCTGATGACAGAAAAAGGTTTTATCTCTTTTGTTAATCAAGAGGTAAATATTTTCTTTTTGTTGTTGTTGTTGTGTGCCGTCGAGTCGGACCTGACTCATAGCGACCCCTCCTTGGGTTTCCGAGGCAGTATCACTACGGAAGTAGGATTGCCCAATCTTCCTTCTGAGGAGTGGCTGGTGGGTTTGAACTGCCAGCCTTCTGGTTAGCAGTCAAGTACCTTAGCCACTATGCTACCAGAGATCCCAAGTATTTTCTAGTGGATTAAAAGGATTGTACATTGTAAGGATTATAGCAGATAGATTTATAAGGTATGATCCAGTTACTATAGGGTGTAATGAGGAAGCAAAGTACAGCTAAATTAGTAAAATTACGTATGTTTATATAAAAGAGTCAAATGAATTCAGTAGACATAATTCTGGCCTTTTGCTGTGATTTCCATTTCTCAAGAACCACCATGACACACTTTCATCCCTATTAAGTCAGAATACCAAGAAATGCTGTCAGTGTCTTCATGGAAGAAAGACCTAGAGCTCTGCTCCTATAAAGATAGGAGCCTAGAACACCCTCTGGACAGTGCTACTTTGTCACACGGGGTTGATATGAGTCAAAACAGCACCTAACAACAACAACAATTCCAGGGATACAATGGATTGGGCCAGTTGTAGCAGTCTGACTCAGCCTGAAACAATTATATTTATTGTCCTAAAGTTATTGTAGCTGAAACAGGTTAGTGTGACCAACTCCTGCAAAGAAGTTCATATTTTCCTATTATTGAGGTCCTGTGGCAGTCTGGCTTTAGTTCTTTCTGATCTTGAATATTCAATTCATACTTGGATGTCATGAAGTAACTCCAAATGTTTACATGAACATTCTTCTTTTTCTGTCTGTGTAATCTAATGAATGTAAATTTTGATTGTTTGTCACCAAAAGAATATTACATTAAAACATTGAGGGATATTAGAAATAGATGTTTTCTGAACACTAAGGGGAAAGTTTTTGAAAAGAGAGGAAAAGAAATGTTTCACTAACAGGTAATGCATACAGACACATTGTTGTTGTCATGTGCCGTTGAGTCGGACCCGACTCATAGCGACCCCTCCTTGGGTATCTGAGGCAGTATCACTATGGAAGTAGATTGCCCCATCATCCTTCTGAGGAGTGGCTGGTGGGTTTGAACCGCCAGCCTTCTGGTTAGCAGCCTTAGCCACTATGCTACCAGAGCTCCCACAGTCACAGACACGATAAAGAGTTTGTTTCACACACACACACACACACACACACAGAAATCTACATTAATTATTTGATTAATTGATTAAGGCATTCATTATAATATTTGTACATTCTGTGTCCCGTGAATGCAGCAGAAAGATTGAGGTTGGTAGTAACATCCTAGTCTTCTAAGGTTTATGTTTTTAACTGTCCACAGTAAATTGAAAAAGAAGACATACAGTGGATTAGAAAAAGGATATTCAAATTTTCCACCTTGTTATAATTATAATCCAATGATTATTACCCTAATATGTTGAGATATTTCTAGACGGTACCTCAATAATATCTGTCAACTTCTTGTATATCCATTTTGGGAAGATAGGATTGGGAAATATGAATATTTTAAGTTTTACTCTGGTTAGGTCTTCTGTGGACACATCTGCTGGGATGGATTCAGATGTGATATAGAAGTCAGTTTTTTATCCCGAACTTCCCTGTTCCTTGTTGATTCATTATGCTCAGGTCATTTTGATTGGCTGAAGAGTCCTAGCACTCTCATCCTTATCTCTTTGGTTTTCACCCCGTACACAATGGGATTCATGGTAGGTGGCATCAGTAAGTAGAGATTTGCCAAGAGTATAAGAGTATGCCTGGGCACGTGGTGACCAAAGCGATGGGTAAAGAAGGAAAAGAAGGCCAGGGTATAGAATATTAAGATGACAGTTATATGAGCTCCACAAGTTCCAAAAGCCTTTGTCCGAGCTTCCTTTGAAGGTAATCGGAATACTGTCCCCAGGATTAGCCAGTAGGAGAGGGAGATAAGGATAAAGTCCAGCCCGGTGGTGAGAAGAGCAGCTGTGAGTCCATAAATGCTATTAAGGGAAATGCTATTGCAGGCCAATTTGGCAATGCCCATGTTCTCACAGTAGGTATGGTGAATGATGTTGGTCTGGCAAAACCGTAGTCGGAGAATAAGCAGGACACCAGGCATGACTACAATCACACTCCGGACCGCCAAAGCCAGGCCCACCTTGCTAATAAGTGAGCCTGTAAGTAGGGTTGTATAGTGGAGTGGTTCACAGATGGCCACATAACGATCAAAAGCCATAGCCAGAAGAACAGCTGATTCAGAGAGGAAGAGAGCGTGAACAAAGAACATCTGTGTGAGGCAGGCAGAAAATATTGATGGGGATGGGCCCTGCCAGAAGATGAGAAGCATTTTGGGCACTGTGACAGTACAAAGGAGGACATCATTGAATGCTAGCATTGCTAGGAAGAGGTACATGGGCTCGTGGAGGCTTTTGTCCCAGACCACCACCCTAATAATGAGGCCATTGCCTATCACAGCCAGAAGGTACATGACACTGAACGGGATTGAGATCCAGATGTGGAAGTCTTCTAAGCCTGGGACACCAGTCAGCAGAAAAGCAGTGACTTGGGTGGATGTATAGTTGGATGTTAAGGATGTCAGGGAGAGGCTGCCAATAACTGTTACATGAGAAGTAGAAAAGAAGTTGAGTGATAACAGCAGAAAATGAGTGTTGAGTTTTGGTTCCTTCATACTACTCAAGCCCCAATTTTTTTTTTTTTTTTGGCATGATGAAGTAGGAGTGAGTATTATGAATAAAATGATCAGAGATAAACTATTAATAATTGAATGATTGTGGGCAAATCCCTTCCCTTCACTTAAACACCTTGTTTTCTCTGAGTGGGGAAAGTATAAACCAAGATGATAAAGATCTTGGTCTTTTCTCTTTGATAATGCCAATTGTTCTAACCACATAGTATCTTTTGAACTTTCAGCTATTCTATGTATATAGCAAGGAATCCTAGTAATGCAACAATTAAGTTCTGGCTGCTAACAAAAAAATTTGACCACCTAATGGCTCTGCTCCTTGAGAGAAAGACTAGCAATCTGCTCCCGAAAAGATTACACCCAAGAGAACCCTATAAGGAGTTCTACTTAGCCACATGGAATTGCTATAAAGCCACATTGACCTGGCAGAGCACAAGACACAACAATGTATATAATTATTACCTTTCCAACTTATTATAAATTCTTAAATATAAACAACAAAAAAAGGAACTACTTTCTTTTCTTTCTATAACACTCTTTCTGTAACACTGGAGAAAATGAATATTTTTCTATGAACAATAAAATCAATTTAATTGCCCTGGTTTGCAATCAAAGCAGTAACTTTGGAAAAGCTATCTATATGTTCATCAAAACTTTTACACTGAAAATCTTAGGAAGTTTTAAATGGTTATGCATAATAAATATGAGTGTAACTAAAAAGACTCATTAAAATGTCTAATTTACAGTCTCAACTTTTTATGTAAGCCTGTCACACCATCTAACAGACAGAAAACTGTCTTGCATTTCAAAATAGCTATTAATCAGTCTTTGTATTACTTGAAATCCTCTTTTCTAGATTATTCCAGCTCTTTGCAATGAAGTAGTGCACATTATTACATTGTCTCCACATGGTCATCCTATTCTGCCTTACTTATAGGAACATTATAAGTCAGAATCACCTTGATGGTAAAAGGTATCTTACACTACTTTCTTTCTTTCTCTCTCATAACATCTGGGTGAAGAAGAATAGGCAAAATTTCTGTCAAAAAACAAACACATAGAATAGATGAATTGGCTTTAATGAAAGTTCCAAGAGAAATTTTTTGAAAATATAGTAAAAACTGGGAAATTTTGTCAAACTTTTACAGTAACCCTATAAGACTGAGACTTTGCTTCATTTATCTCCCAGCGGGGCCTGGTCTTGGTTGTTAAGCAGGCACACAAGAAACATCAACGTATTTAGATAGAACACATGTCACATGTCAGGAAAAGAGGCAATATAGCAGTAATAGTCAATAATAACTAACATTTCTCAGTGCTCAGAAGGTGTTAAACATTTTCCTGAAACTTGATGTAAACACCTTACATGTTGTTATGTGCCATCGAGTTGGGCCCGACTCATAGCGACCCCTCCTTGGGTTCCTGAGGTAGTGTCACTACTGAAGTAGATTGCCTAACCTTCCTTCCCAGGAGGGGCTGGTGCGTTTGAACCCCCAGCCTTCTGGTTAGTAGTCAGGTGCCTTAGGTACTATGCTACCAGAGCACTTTACATAGATTATACAACTATATATGGAAGAAAATGTTATTATCTCTATTTTGGAAATACCGACACTGAAGAGTTAATTTTTCTGTGATCACATCACTAATAAGTGTGTAAAACTTGTTTTTAAACAAAAATATTCTAATTCCAAAATCCAACAGCTTTAGCCACTGAAGCATTCATACTTACCATTTAGATGCATGGTTTTTTCTAATACATTGGAAACACAAGAAGGTAGATCTTGAATTTTCTCTCAGTACTTTCAATGGTGATATTCCTAGGTTTTAGGTAAAAAGTCATGACTGGTTTATAAAAACTCAGAAGACATATATATGCCCACACACATACATGAATACTTTCATACACACACACACACACACACACGCACACACACAACTATATGATATGATACATTAATATCTATTTTAAAAGACAGCAAAGGGAATATCTAAGGGTCTCTTGAGTATTGTAACTTCTCAGTGACTACTTTTACACCTGAGACCTTACAGTCAGTATTTGGATTAGCTGACTAAATCATGTATTTCCACTTGTGAAATTATATATCCCAATTTTGATCAGCACAACTGTGCCAAATAATTTCCCAAACTGGTGACATTTTCTAAGTGGCAGCTCTTTTTATTTTTTTTTTTTGTGGAAGCTCAGTATTTAGTCCTTAGAGAATATTGCAATACTGTAAAAAGAAAGTTTTCTATTGCACCTCTGCCCTGGAACATGAAAACCTTGTGTGACAAAACCCAACTATTATTGATTTTGTTTTAATACATTGCAATAAATCACTAGCAATACTTTTGTGAAACATTTTTTTAGTTTTTTTCTGAGGGAAAAATGTGACAAGATATTGAAGAACTTCCATTTTTAAATGCAGGTATTTTTTAATGTCTTTAGTTGGTCAAGCTATTAACTATTAAAGAACATGATTTCAAAGATTCAGGTAATATATTTCTAAATTTGGAAGATTAGCTAAATTCTGCATGTAGCCTATATCATTTGCTATTTTCTTGGTAGATCAGTAAAATTTAGGAATCAATTAATTCAATTTACAATCTTAAATTAATATGATTCAAAAGAAGTCATGCTTAATACCCAATCTCATATATAACACATGTGGATAAAAATATCGATTTGTCATATGCAATGGAAAACTCTTGGCTATCAAAATATATATGCTTGTTTTTCCTATGGGGCTGTTCTGTTCTGTCCTATAGGTTCACTGTGCATTGGAATTGACTAGATAGTAGTAGATATTAGTGGGTTGAAATGCTTAGAAAAATAATAAATAATCTTCTTGCTCCTTATTGATCTTGGAATCACAGCTATTCAAGGTGCTGATAGTGATGGTGGTTAAGCCTGCATGACATGATAAATTTTTAGGTCAATAAGTGAGTCTGTTTTGTGGAGAATAGAATCTAATTTTCTTGGATCCTATAATAATTTCTTAAGATATAAACACACACACACGCACACTGCCATAGAGTTGATTCTGACTCATTTGATTTCTAAGGCTGTAAATCTTTGTGGAAATAGACTGCTTTGTCTTCCTCCCATCTGGTGGGTTTGAACCACCAACTTTCTGATTAGCAGCTAAATGCCTTACCCACTATGCCACCAGAGCTTCTTCTTCAGGTCTAGTAGATAATATATATTTCTCAAGAATTTAAAAGTATTCATATTTCAGACTAATAAACTAGAAGTACATTTTGGGTGGACTGCAATTTGAATGGGAACTTTGAGCAATAACAAGGGAACTGATTACAACAAGGGGACAGGGGAGGCAGGATTGAATTCAGGAAGATAAAGAAAGATCTATCTATGAAGTCAAATAGTGGAATCTGTGGTGTAGGCAGGCTCTGGGTCATTAAAATTGGTAGATGGTCCAAACAGAAAGTTGCTCTGGTTAGGATCTAATAAGAAAAACTTAGACCTCACAATGAAATCGTGCATTTAAAACTTACAGTTAATAGAAAATTTTACAGGGTGGTTATAAAATCTGGAAACAGATAATGATTTGCAAAATTGAACTGTTTTCTTTATTTCTTCCAGTGTATGCTAATGGATGAAGTTTATTCATTAAAAATCAAATTATCTGAGGTAATATATCTTAGAAATAAGTGAAATGAATGGATACACTGTGCCCACCATCATTTTGCACAGTGTACTGATAACAATGGATGACACTTTAAACACATCATGTAATATCATATATTGTTGTTGGTAGGTGCCATTGAGTCAGTTTTGACTCATAGCAACCTCATGCACAACAGAACAAGA